CTAGTAATCCATTTGATTCTTACACTAGCCTACAGGGACACAGCTATACTATTATTAGTATTTCCACTCCACAGAGGGGGAGACTGTGGTTCAGAGAGGTTAAATATCTTGTTTAGTTCACACAGCTAGGGGCGCCTGGGTGGCTCAGTCATTAAGCGTCTGCCTTCGGCTGGAGTCATGGTCCCAAGGTCCTGGGATCGAGCCTCACATTGGGCTCCCTGTTCGGCGGGAAGCTTTCTTCCCCCTCTCCCACTCCCCCTGCTTGTGTTCCCTCTTTCACTGTGTCTCTCTCTGTCAAATAAATAAATAAAATCTTTAAAAAAAAATAAGGTCACACAGCTAGTAAGCAGTGAGCCAGGATTTGAACCTGGGGAGTCCAGCCCCATAGGTTGGGCACCACTCTGCTATGCTGAGTAATATGAATTGAAGACCTCTGTGGAAGGAAAGTCCCCACCTGATCCACCATTTGGAATATGTGCTTGGGTTCTGAGGAGTGTAGATTTTCCAGAAGCACTTCTGTTTCTGGCAGATCCTTAATGGCCCAGGAGGAGCTGGGTTACTCTGTTCATGTGGGGGAAATGGATTCCAGTCCGAAGAAGTGACAAGGCCAAAGGCTGACATGAACTTGGTGGGTCCTCTGAATGTGGCAGGAGTGGAGGAGTGAGGGGCTGAGCAGAAGGAGCAGTAAGAAGGGAGGGTGTATCCACATGACCTGAGTTCTTTTCTGAGTGTGATGGTGTTTAATCTGGGAAATGACATAACCCGATTTCTGTTTTTCAGCTTATCATTTCGGCTGTTGTATGGAGTGTGGCTATGGAATATAGCAAGAGAAAACCTAAGGGGGTCAGTGTGGGTGATCCTGGGGAAGACTCTTGTGGGAGATGATGGGCCTGGGCCACAGTGTAAGCATGACCAGATTCCTGTTTTTGAAACTTCACTTTGGTAGCTGAGGGTGGAGGTCTGGGGAGGAGAGGGCTAGAGTTAAGGCATCACTTAGGGGTTCAGAGGAGAACTGTTGAGTTTCCAGACTTCGCGATAGGTGTAGGGGAAAAGGAATGTATTGCAATGTTTGGGCCATAAAGGAAATAATTCACAAGCTGCTCCTAAGGGGACCTTTGTTATCAGAGGGAGCCTCATTCCTATAGGCAAAGCCCAGCCACGGGCGTGACTAATCTCTCATCCAGACCTGGTTCTCCCTGGGTCTTCCCTCCTTCTGCCCAGTGTGCATGCCCCTCCGTGTGGAGTGGAAGGTACCCTTGAGGGAATATGAGGGGAGGCTGGGTCAGCAGCCCATAAGAGGACACCCTTTCTGCTGTTCCTGGCCCCTCCTGGGGTCTCGGGTCCATGCAGAGGTTAAGCTACACTTTGACAACACAACTTGCCCCCTTGCAATGATCTTGTAGGCACCTTCCTGCCGTGGCGGTGGCTGAATGTGTTGGGTAACCTGTGAACGATAAAAGAGAAGAGGGGCTCGGAAATTTGAAGTCCATTCCTGCCTAGAGCCAGGCTGCTTGAGGACCCCACAGCCAATACACAGTGGGGCAGGCATTCTCCTCCAGGTCCCTCTCGAGCCCATGCTTCTCCAACTCCGAGCAGAAGGGCAGGACCAAGCCCTCGGCGGGGAGACGTGGGGGTGGCTGCTTACAATTCTATTTTGCAGCAAACCGTCAACCCTAAAGTCCCAGGGGCTCATTCGGGCAGGTTCTTGGATACCTCCTTCTTGACTTTTCTTTCTGATGGGAGTTTTCAGACAGGAGTTTTATGTCAGGAGATGCTATTTTCCCATTCCAGAGCAAGAAGAGTATGCCATGGTGAGCTTAGGGACTCTGTTTATGCAGGAATGAAAATGCGAGGACTTGAGGAGCACAGGAGAGCCTGATCCAGTTCTAATAAGTAACAAGGAAAATGTAATTGTATTTCCAAGTTCCAGTCTCCCTGGGTCATTACTTACAGTGTTATATTCTCTGAGATCAAAGGGTGGTTCTTCAGATCTGGGTTGCAAACTGAGTTACTGCACTTTGGAAGCTAACCGGCTGCTGCCTAGTCCTGTCGTGAGATGGGACAGGTGTGCCAGGACAGAAGGATGACTCCACAAACCCAACAAGGCCTCGAGGCGCAGCTTTAAAATGAACTGGTGGGGGAGAAGGAGGGTTGCAGAGGGACATGGGACGCAATCATTGAGCACAGAAAAATCCCAAGAAGGGAGGAGGTTTCCAGGAAAGTGAGCTTGGAAGCTGTTCTCTTACATCAAAGGTGTAGAGTGTCAAGAACCCTGATCCTCTACCCCAGGGTAGCAGCCAAGAGGAGAAGGTGTTCTGTCTCTGGTATTTGCAGTGATTTGGAAGGAAGTGTTGTTCCTGAAGTTCCAGTAATTGCATGCATCTGTCACTAACAAATGGAAAATGGAAATAACTCAAAAAATAGACTCCTACTTGCTGAACTTAGTGCTTGCAAGGCTAAACCTGAAGCCATTTGAAACAATTTGAAGAGCCTCTGCAATGAGTGTATTGATTCTGATAGAGGGAAGAGACCAATTCAGTATGGATCAGTCAGTGTGTGTGTGTGTGTGTGTGTGTGTGTGTGTATGTGTGTGATGGGGATATTCGTTTGGTCCAGGCCATGCCAGGTGTGTTACAGACTCAGGTATCATGATGCTTATTTGACCAGTAAGGAATCTGATGCCCAGAGAAGTTAGTCAGTCTGCCCTGTCACAGTGGATTGAATCCAAGTCTGTGCAGTGCAAACCTCCCTGCTCATTCATCCATTCATGGGTGGGGTAGCTCTGAGGTGGGTGTTGGTGGGGGCAGGCAGACCAGAAGGGGCAACATGGCTGGAGCAGAGCTGCTCAGCCTCTCCTGGCATACTGTTACTTACGTTATTATGCACATCAGCAAGCATCGGCCTTTCTCAAACTGTGTAACTTATTACCATATAACTAGCGGTCTATGAATGTTAACACATGTCCTATGAAAAGGCTTCTGTGGTCAAAGAAATTTGGGTTAAAAAAAATGGCCCTTTAATGGGAGGACTCTTCCCAGCCTCAGGCTCTTATGCACGGTGAACAGGACAGAGAGTATGTTCTGTTTTCTAAATTTATTGGATCTCGGGAGCTCTCCTTGTTTTGGATGGTCTCTATTTTCTAGCTGTATTCATTATCATTCTCTTTCATTTGGTAAAATTTTATATGTAGTTCATTCCTGGGAGAGAGTTCAGGTCTTTTATCTTTTTCTTGAAAATGTTCTGCATTATGAGAGTTTCTATACATTGATTGTACAGCTCAGAACTTTGTTGGGGCACATGGAAAGCAAAAAAGGAGAGGTCAGGGAGCAGGGTCTAGACCCTGGGGGTCGGCAGATCTGGCTGCATGGGAGGAGATACACAGCCCGGAGAAAGAGTAGGTTATGGAGAGAAAACCAAGAGGCAGGCAGCCATCCAGGCAAGGGGGACGTGGAAGGGCAAGCTGGGAAATGCGAGACTCTTGCAGTAAAGCGGAGACAAGGTGGGGGAGGAGGAAAAAGACAGAGAAGGTGAAACTGCTGTCCCTTGAACCTGTGTGACCCTGGAAGGGGGGGGGGATGCCTGCACGGCCTCGAATGGCTACGTGTCACTTAGAAGGCCACTGCGCCACCGCCAAGGGTGAGGATGAAATCAGCCCAGCAAGGCAGCAGAACAGATTTGCATTCAAATCCTGCTCACTGGTTCCTGGTGTGTGACTTTGAGTAAATGCCTTCAACCCTCTTGATGCTTCTTTCAACCCTCTCTTGTCTCTTGACTGCTCAGAACCACTGAGGAGGTTCAATGAGACTGAATGCAAGCCTTCCCCCTCCCCGAGGACACACCCAAGGCCTGATCCTCAGCCTTTTACTCTCACCTTGATGCGGGGCTCAGAGGCTCTTTATCTGTCTTGGACTGGCCTCACCTTCCCCTCCAAGCCTCTTCCTTTCCCTATTTTTTTTGGCTCAGAGCCGTCCACACCTTGGGGATTCTGGATAAATGGTTTCCTGATAACTGGAGCTCCGCTGCTCTGAGAACGGACTGCCCCCCAGCCTGGAGATGGAATCTGCAATCGGAAGCTGGACAAGGGGAACAGCTCCCCATATTGAATGACCCTGTCTCCTGGTGGCTCTCTCAGGCTGAAGGAGGGCAGCGCACAGTCCCCCTGGGGACCAATGATGGCTGCTTGTCCTGCTTTATCTGTTTCTCTGTGCTTCATTAAATCAGTGCCAAACAGATTTAAAAAGAAATTTTAATGCCAATACGATAGACCTATTGGCAGTGTGAGATTAAGAAATGTTTTAATTTGGTGGGTTTTTTCTTTGCCACTTGACTCTGATTCATTACATATTCTTTTTTAAAATGTGAATCCAAACTTCCACTGTATACTTTTTTCTGCCATTATTGTACATGATGATCTCTATTACATCTGCGAGAAAGAACACTGGAGGGTCTGAAATGACTGTTGTCAGCTTTTGGAATTCCAGACAGATGACTTCAATCTCTCTGAAGGAACAATGGATTATTTAGGAGAGTTGCTAAGACCGCTAACCTTGCAGAACATTGTGCTTTTAAAAATGTTGAATGAGTAAACTTAGAAGATTTATTATTTTCCCTCTGATTTGTAAGTGGAATAGAAGTTCACTGGAAAACTAGAAATGCAGAAAAGAAAATTATCATCAAAATTAAAATTATGGCATATTCTTTCATTTCCTAAGTCTCTCTCTTTCTTTAATTAGCCATCACACTGCATGCATGGGTTGGCTTCGTTCATTTAATACTATATTGTGAAGAATTTCTTACCTCATTAAATAATCTTCCATTTGTGATTTTAATAGCTACTTCACCATTTAGACGTACCACAGATTATTCAACCTACCTCTTATTGCTGCACTCCCCTGTTGTTGGATATTTAGGTTGCCACTAATTATTTTGAATGATAAGTATCACCGTGATGAACATCATTGTACAAACACCTCTGTGTGCATCTCTAATTATCTCCTTAGAGTTATTTCCGAAAGAGCCGGACCTGATGAAAGGCCCAGATCTGCAGTTCCAAATGGACCCACTTACATTCTCATCAGAAACTGATGGCCATTCTGCTGCGCTTCGCTAACCTAGGTACCAAATGACACAAAACAAAGCAAAAGCAAACAAAACAACGTTGCTAATTTACTGTGTGAAACTGTCACCTCATCCTTGTGTTATGTTACATTTCTTAGATTTCACACGAGGTTGACTATTTTATCTAGTGTCTACAATAGCCCCCTTCTCTGTGGTTTTGCTTCCCCTAGTTTCAGTTACACTGGGTCAACCACAGTCTGGAAGATGATCCTCCTTCTGACGAATCACATGCTCAGGAGTTCAGTGTTAGCCCAACGCTGCATTCCAGGTCCGTATCATTCACCTCCTTCACCTCATCATGTAGGCATTTTATCATCTTACATCAACACAAGAAGGGCAAGTACAGTACAGTAAGATATTTTGAGAGAAAGACCGCATCCACGTAACTTTTATTATAGTATATTGTTAAAATTGTTCTATTCTATTATTAGTTATTGTTGATAATCTCTTACTGTGCCTAATTTATAAGTTGAACTTTATCATAGATACCTATGTATAGGGAAAAACATTATATATATATATATATATGGTTTGGGACTCTGCGAGTTTGGGCATCCATTCCACGTCTTGGAATGTGTCCCCAGTGATAAGTGGGGGACTAGCTGTATTTTCCATTGATTTTCTTATCTTATAAATTGACTTAGGCCCTTTGCCCATTTCTCTGTTGGAGCGTTTGTTAACCTATGGGAGCTCTCCCTCACTTTGTTACATAGGAAGCATATTAATTCTTGATCTGGTGAGTAGGTTACCCATATCTTTCCCATTTTGTTAGAGGTTTTATTTATTTATTGTTTCTTCATTTGCTCTTATAATTACATTTATTGTTTCTTCATTTGCTCTTATGATTACAAAGACCTTCCTTACTCTAAGAACAGATAGCTATTCACTTCAATTTTCTTCAATTATTTAATTTCTTAGATTTAGCTTATTGATTTTTTGGAATTTATTTTAGTGTGTGGTATGAGGTAGGAATCTAATTTATTATTTTTAAATGTTTAAATAATTTTCTCAGTATTATTTATTAAATAAAACTCTTGTACTGGTTCTCTGGTTCCAAATCCCTCTCTTATATAAGCAGTACTTAAAAATACTTGGATCATTTTCTGAGCTTGTCAATTTTTCCCCTCATTAATGTCTTAATTCTTCATTAGTAACACAGTTATATGGCTGGAAATACATTGTACTCTTCTTTAAGAAATATAGATACTGGGGTGCCTGGGTGGCTCAGTCATTAAGCGTCTGCCTTCAGCTCAGGTCATGATCCCAGGGTCCTGGGATTGGGTCCCACATTGGGCTCCCTGCTCTGCAGGAAGCCTGCTTCTCCCTCTCCCACTCCCCCTGCTTGAATTCCCTCTCTCACTATGTCTCTGTCTGTCAAATAAATAAATAAAATCTTAAAAAAAAGAAATATAGATACTTTCCTTTCTTTATTCTTATAGTAAAATATATTTATTTTAGTGAGATACTCAAAAACTCCATTGCAATTTTGATTAGCATTCCATTAAAATTAAAAATAATTTTGCTCTTTGGGGCACCTGGCTGGCTTGGTCAGAAGAGCATGATCTCAGGGTTATGAGTTCAAGCCCTATGTTGGGTGTAGCAATTATAAAAAATAATAATAATAAACTTTTAAAAAGCTTTAAAGCTAATTTTGCTTTTAATTTTTCACCTATGTTTGTGATATAGCTTTTATTTTTACAAAACACTTAGTAGGTTTCTTCACATTTTGTTAATCAAAGATCAAGTGTTTTATATTGTTATGATTATGATTATGGAATGTGGAATACACATTAATTATTAGGTATTTTCCTGTGGTATATAAAAATCTATTGGATTATGCATATTTATTTGTAATTATCTAACTTACTGAGCTCTCTTTTGGTTCTAATAGGTTTTTGTTGATCTTTGAAAATAAATTATATATATCTTTAGGCATTATCTATGATACTTTATTTTATTTTTTGTTTTTATTTACTATACTTATTTTTATTGTCTTTTGTTTTTATTTTATTTTTTTCCTTTTTCTTATTCTGCTGAATAGAAATTCCCAAACAGTGGCAAAATAATGGTGATCATGACAAGCATTTTTTTCTTTCTACTGAATTTAATGGAAATGCTTTCATTTTCATTTTATTTTACTTTAAAAAAAAAGAGAAGGGTCTTAAGCAGGCTCCCTGCTGAGCACAGAGCCTGACCTGGGGCTCTATCTCACAACCCAGAGATTAGGGCCTGAGCTGAAACCGAGTCTGATGCTTAGCCAGCTGTTCCGCCCAGGCATCCTTTTGGAAATGCTTTTAAATTGAATCATAAATTGTCTTGGTTTGACATATATCGTTTTTGTCACATTAAAGAAATAAACTTTAATTTTTAATTTGCCTAAGAGGCTATCCACACTGCACCCCCAGTGATGTGGTTTTGGAATATTGGTGAGGTTCGGTGGGGTGAGGTCTGGAGCTGACAACCAAGTCTTGAGATGTCTTTGGTGCAAAATGGTGGTTTAATAAAGCACAGGCTCAGGACCCGTGGGCAGAAAGAGCTGAAGCACGGGGGTTTTGAGGAGTAGTGATTATATATTTGGGAGTTGGGGGAGATAAGGAAAAAGGGAGGTTTTCAAAAGAACTTTCATATGCTAAAGAGGACCTACTAGATACCTGAGGCCGTGCCATTGTCAAGTTAAGGTTGTTTTTCCCTCTAGTAAAGCATTAACAATAAGACAGTTGGGAGCTTCCTGGAAGAATGTCACACAAGTCCCACCCAGGAGTGGGGGTGGGGGGAGGTTGCAGGGTGTCAGCTTATGCTTTGTCTTCAGCTAGCCTTCTGCTCCCTCATCACCAGCATAAACAAGATATTGATTCAAACACTTTTCCTACCCCTATCCAGGTGATAATGTAGATTTTAAAAAGTAACTTATTAATGTGCCACAGTATTTTATTTTATTTTATTTTTAAAGATTTTAAAATTTATTTGACAGAGAGAGACACCGCGAGAGAGGGAACACAAGCAGGGGAAGTGGGAGAGGGAGAAGCAGGCTTCCTGCTGAGCCGGGAGCCCGATGTGGGACTCGATCCCAGGACCCTGGGATCATGACCTGAGCGGAAGGCAGACGCTTAACGACTGAGCCACCCAGGCGCCCTGGACACAGTATTTTAATAGGTTTGTAAATATTAAATGTTCCTTGTATTCATGGATGATTCTTTACATAGTTATGTTGTATATTTATTTGAATATATTGTGGATTCAATTTCACAGATAATTGCTTTTAAGTTTGTAATTGATTTATGCTTTCCCTTTATTTTGTGCTCCTTTTCCAGTCATTTAGAAGGTAGTTGAAATATCTCTTAAAAGATTTGAAGGAACTCACCTGGAAAATTATCTGTGCCATGATCTGTTTTGGACTTAATTATTTGACAATTCTTTGACATTTTCAAATTTTTTCCTGCCTGAAAATTTTCAAAGCTCTCATTTCATTTTGGGCTAGTTTTGATCATTTCTATTTGCTTATTAAAGTGTCCCATTCCTTTAAGATTTTAAATCCATGTACATGGACTTTATATATATATATATATAAAATTCTCTATTTAAAAAAAAAAATCCCCCGCCTCTCTTTTTTTTGTCCTTTTCTCACAACTTATAATATTGTGCATGTGAATTTTCTTTCTCTTTTTTTTATTGCATATTGTAGATTTTTCTTTCTTCCTCAAATTCAGTCTTCGAATGTATTGCTTAGTTCTACTATTTTCTGTTTTATAAATAATTATTTTCTATTGCTATCTTTATTATTTCATTTTTAAAAAATATTTCTTAGATGTGCTTTTATTCAGAATTCTTTTTTTAAAAAAAGATTTTATTTATTTATTTGTCAGACAGAGAGAGCACAAGTAGGGGGAGTGGCAGGCAGAGGGAGAAGCAGGTTCTCCATTGACCAAGGACCCCGATGTGGGGCTGGATCCCAGAACTCCCGGGATCATGACCTGAGCCTGAGGCAGAAGCTTAACTGACTAAGCCACCCATGGATCCCTTATTCTGAATTCTTAAGTCAAATAATGCATTTCATGTTATCCCTTCTTTTCTAAAGCAGTAAATTTGAATGATACATTTGACCACATCCCTTGTGTATGTATGTGTAGTAATATTCGCCATTGCATTGTTTAAAAAAATAGCTTATAATGGGGATTTTTATTTCCTTTTTGATACCATATAATTATTTCAAAAAGTTGTATTAAAAATGATCAAGTCTTGTCTTTCCTTTTATTTTTAAAAGGAATACTATTAATTTTTGGTGCCTTCTTTTGTGGCTATGGTATTTTGGTTTATAAATTTTTACTTTTTAACATTTATTGAAATCTCATTTGTGGTCTTAAAAATAGCAAGGAGTGTCAGTGGGGAAAAAATCAAGGTAGCTACTAAATCATTAAACTATTTAGGCCCTTGAGAACCAATGATATCAAAAGTGGTTTGTACATATTTCAGAGGATATGCAGGTTTTAGAAAGTAAATAATAAAAGATCTGTTTTTATTTTAATAAAACAAATTAAGTTTTATTAATATTTACTGTACCCCTGTTACGGCCACTCTGATTGCAGTAGATTGATTCTAAGAATTGTCCAACTCTTCACCCCTCCCTGCATCTACACTGTTGGTTCTCAATTCACTGACTCTGAGCTCAGCCATATAACTTGCTTTGCCCAGTGAGATGGAAGCACACTGTAATAAGCAGGGTCTTACAGGATTGGGTTTGCTCACTCTTGCCCTCTGTCATTGCCATGAGAACATATCTGGGCATACCTGCTGGAAGATGAGAAGTGGAAAGATCTAAGCTCCTCCAATAATCCCAGCTGAGGCCACCCTAGACCAGCTGACAGTCAGTCAACCCTCAGACACGTAAGCAAGCCCAGACAAGATCAACAGAACCTCCTCGCTGACCCACAGCTGACCTCAGAGGTATGAATGCGCAAGTCCAGCTGCAAATCAGCTGATGCACTCAGATTTTTGAGTGAAAGAAGTGTTTACTGTTGTATGTCATTAGGGTTTTGTGTTGTTTGTGACACAATTTTATTTGGGCCTTAGATAACGGATGCCAGAAAGTTACCTGCCATGTGTTGTAAGTAAGTCTTCCTAAAAGATCTATGGACATTTCCAAACAAGAAGGTTGATGGCATCTCCATCCTGTTTTTATTAGCTTTTAGCATATTGTGATACATTACAATTTATCTGTTCCCAGCTAGGTAAATTTAAAGATTTTCTCGTTTTAACAAAACTAATTAATTCTGCCCTCCAAATGGAAAGTGGATTATAAAGATTCTTGCAAAATGACCCTAGTACAAGTAAACAATAGCAAAAAACCCACAAAACCTCCAAAGTAGCTGAACAACATTTCTTTTCTGCCTAGTATAAGTCTTCATCCATCACACCAAGAGGTCGAAGGAACCATGATGTAATCAGATCTTGCAAGAAGTCTAAATACATACTGTACTGTGAAAACTAACTGTAAGTAATGGGACGCCCTTACAGTAGCCAGGCATTTAAAACTAAGCATTCAGAACCTGAAGACAAGTATCTGTATTTTTTCAGCCATATTTAAGTTATATGATATCCAATCCAAACAAAAAGTGTTTGAAAACAGGTAAAATCCATTGCTATAAACTTGAAGAAACAAGTTTTAGAACAAACTGCTCAGTATGGGAGGTTTTCTAAACACAGTTGGAAAAAAGTACAGATGTCTCAGTTAAGAATGTATCCAAGATGATCTTTCAGTAATTAAATGCACAAAGCACATTGTGCATGTATGGTGAGTCACTCTAATACATTCTCTGAGTGTGCTCAAGAAGATAGTTTTTCAACAGTACATTACTTCTTTAATAACAATTTTAAAAACCCCACTGTTTTATGGAGGAGAGGAGTGGAAAACAGAGTAAGTGTAGTTACAGATGGAGCAGCTGCTTCTACTGAAATAAAATGGGTCCTAGGGTGAGTCACGGATTGCATCCCATGGGAAATGTATCTAATGCCTCCATCATAGATAAGGAAATACACCAAATTCAAATCAGAAGTGTTTTTGATACAGTTTAAAAAAAGTGGGAGAATCTTTATAACAAACTCAGAAGAGAAGGGCCGTGACCATAGGTATTATTTGTCCCTCGTGGAGGAGAGGTGGTTATCTCATGGTAAAAGATTTCAAAGACTCATCAGATTTAAAGATAAAGTGAAATACATTTCTTTGCTCATGCAGAAAGATAAGCATTCCAACTTTTGATGATTTGTTTTCCCTCTGGTGACCCAGCAGACATTTCTGAAGAAACTAGCCCATTTAATGTGTCCATTCAAGGTTGAGGTGATGTTTTAACAAGTTGAGAAACTGGTTTTTGACAGAATCTGGTGCTAAGGAAAGAGCATTATGAAAGCATGTGTCTGGAATGTTTCATCCTTACCTGATTTTGTGGCTGAAAACAGTATGTGTCATTACAATACTTCTCACATATACATACCCAAAAACCTCATTTAAAAATAAAATCTAACTTGCTTTAAAAATCATTCAAAGGATGTTGTTGTTTTTGAGCTTATTTGGTTAAAAAAAAATCAAAGCACATCACCTTCCAATTATTTGGCATGAATAACTGATTGACAGCTGGGATAATGGAAATTTACTAACAGAATTTTAGCAAAAAAAAACCTTTGCAGAATAGATTCACGGAGTGCAGGCACCGTTTGATTCTTTGATGTGGTTCTGTGGGCTCTTGTAAGTAGCTTTTTGACCAAGGCAGCCATTAAACCTAAATACTGACCTACACTGAATTTAGAACCTGACTTTTGAATCAATGTCATGGACATTTTTAAAAACAATGAAGCGTATTCAACCCCATTGCCTTCTCCAGGCTATGTTTTTCAAATGCAAGGTCTTGTGGGATGCTAATAGATGAGGATGGATGGTCCAAACTGCCTTTTCAGTATCTTTTATTATCCCTCACCACAGACACTTTTGAGACTCAAGTTTGAAAACCACTACTTTAAGCCTTTTTGTTTCTTTTCTATTTTGCCTTTCAAAGACTCTAAGTTATATAGGAGCTAATATAATGTAATATAGTGCTTTTTGTTTTTGTTTTTGACATCTTTTATTTCCAATGGATTTTATTTTATTATATTTAATGTTATGTTACCTGGCATATAAACTGTTTTTCTTTTTGTAACAGAATGTCATTGTAGATGTACCTTCACCCAAAGTAATACAATCCTATTTGTTCAGTTTAACAATTTTCTTTGGTTTGGAATTTACATTGTCTGATATGAGCGACGAGCCTCTACTTTTGTTGTCTGGTTTACCTTTGTCCAGTCTTTCACTTTTAAACTTTCTGTGTTACTTTTAGATTTTTGAAAATAGGGTGTAGGTGCACTTTTATTTGGATATGCATTAGGTGTCTTTTTGTTTCAGGATGGTATTTAACTGATTTACACTTATTGTCGAGCTGAAATTCCAATCTCATTTTTTCATCTTGTTTTGTGTTTTGCCAAAGACCTACTCATAGCTCCTGTCAAAAATTAAAAAATTATAGACATAAAACCAGTTAATCATGGAAGTAGTAACTGGTAAAAGTTTATTGTGCACACAGCAAAAAGACAATTTGCAGACCAGAAGTACTCAAACCAAAACGTGGAGCAAGGCTCAGGGGTATATTGTTCTAAAGAAGTTTATACACTGAGAAAGCAGTGACTGTTGATTGGTTATAATCTTAGAATTTTCTTAAATGACAGGGAACTGGTCAGTGGTTACTTCATATCAACCTTGGGGAATAGATCCAGTTTTGCTTATGATTTCCAGAACCAAAAGCAAGAAATGTCCCAGGTCAAGTTAGTCTTGCAAAATAAAAGCTGACTTCAGCTTTGTTTGTATGACTACCCTGGTTTTATCTGCTCAGGGAATTTTCAAGGCTGGTCTCTGGTTTGGTTTTGGCTTTAAGAATTCCCCCTTTTTGGTCATTCTCTCAGCAGGCTGAGAATATGACCAACAGGTATAGTGTTATTCTTGTTACCACTGTTGATGTAGTCAGGCTGAAGAATCACACATTTGCTGTTTCCATTAGTTGAGTTGTCAGGCCGGAGGGCTGTGTAGTCACTGATGTAGGAAAGACGTTAGGGTTCGAAGCCAATGGCTAAGAAAGAATTCTTGAGACGTCTTCGGTGCAAAAAGGTGGTTTTATTCAAGCACGGGGACAGGACCATGGGCAGAAAGAGCTGCACTGGGGTCATAAGGAGTGGCCCATTAAAGACTTTCAAGTTGGGAGGGGGTTGGGGATAGTGTAAGTCTCTGTGGAATTGGAAGCAAGGTTTCCAGGACCTTGAGGGGGCTAGCTATTGTTGGAAAAAAGTCATTTATTACCGTCTAATAAAACCTTAGTCATGAGACCCTTCAGATATATATCAGTGGGCCATATGCTTGGGGGATGATTGCCAACACGTATCTTAGGGGGTTTAGAGATAAAGGAATTTTCCAAAGGAATTTTTCTATATTAAAGTAGGCTTACAGGATCCAGGATTGAGGGGAGGATGTTGGGTTAGGACTACCTTTTGCCCTTAGCAGAGTGTCAACATCGAGGCAGTTGAGTCCCTAGAGGAATGTCACTCTGCCTGTTTCAAGGACTTGTCAGTGGGCTCTAGATAGTAAAATTTAATAATTTTTCTTCTGCCTTTGTTTCCCACACCAGTCACTTCTTCATCATTTATATGGTTATGGCTGATTTCACCCGGTTGTCCAATCCTCATGGATACCACGTGGCGTGTGAGTGGGAGCTGACCGGCAGGGCATTTAAAACCCTCGAGAATATACAACACACTAGAGGTGTTCATATGATGACCCCAAGGAGAACAATAGCCAAGGATTTTGAAATTCCCCAGGGCAGAGACTCTAGGAGTCAAGATTTAACCAATTGAATAACTCAAATGGGTTATAAGCACAACACGATGTCTTGGCGAACACATATCCTCACAATTACTTAAGACAGGATGAATATGAGGATGTTTTAGTTAAGGAGGCAGCACTGCAGGTGAATTTTCACCTTTGTGTGGTCTCATTATGATGTGAGCAATCAGTTATTTAATGAGAGCCATTTCTATGGAAACAGAAGGAAAACAAAGGTTAATAGTTTAAGCAAATGATAAATTTAGTTTCTGAGTTTGGAGGGCAGCCAGTTGAGAAAATTTCTAGGTGTCGGGTTCTAAGCATCTTTAGACAGAGTGAAGGCAGGCAGCAGCGATCTGACAGATATTCCTGGTTCTCAGTGTGAATGTCCCTAGTGAGCTTTCGGAGTGGCTGCATAGCAACAGGCATGGAGATTGTCCACACATGAGCTGTTGTGCTGATTTCTATGAAAGTTACATCAAGTTGTCCAGCTTTAGTTGCAAGGCTTCAGGAAAAGGGCAGTTTTACTTTTATAGTGATTCCAAGTCAGAAGAGTCAGAGGAAATGGAAAATGTTAGTTTGGAGAGTTCTAGCTAAATGTTTGAGGAAACTTGGACGAATTCAGGATCTAGTCCAGTTGATGGGCAGAAAACAAACCCTCAAAGACAACAACACTAGAATCTGCTACCTACAGAGGTGTATTATTGAAACAATTTTTCCTCTTTTTAATTATCCCCATTTCTATCAAAAGTAACCACAGTAAGACTAATTTGTTTGCAAGTTAAGTCTAGTTTCAATAAACTTGGCCTGATTATTTACTAAGTGTGGCAAGAATAGTGATTGACCATATAGGCTGTTTTAAATCTGCTTTGCTGGAACTTCTCATAAGGAATTTCAGATTGGACTTTCAAAACCCTCTTGAGGCTAGGAAGCCAAGCCTTGTCCAGTTGTGTCCTGTTAGAAGAAAAACAGATTCTTTTTGAACTCATGCAAATTTATACATTGTCATGAAAAACAAGAATATTTAGTAAGAGTTTTCCAAATTCTGGAGGGATCAGGTAGGGAGCAAAAGACAGATGTTTCAAACTTTGTTCCAAAATTGTTTTAAGTTATAGATAGCTTAAAAGAGAGGAGAAAAAGGAATCCCTTGAATCTGGGAGACAAAATATTAAAGAACTAGCAATGGTTTTTGTTTATTTGTTTGTTTGTGGGTTTTTTTTTTTCCCCTTCAGAGTTTCTTATCCTCACGGAACTCAGTACAGGCCTGTGAAAAGGTTCTCATCACAGAGAGAACTAGCAGTGTTTTAAATGAAGTCATAAAAATTATAATCATCTTCATCAGTTCATTCAGCATTATGTAATTAATTGTTTTGCTTCATTTTGGGTTAGCAGCTTTATGATTCAATCAGTTTTCCATTAAAAGTTTAGAAATTCTTACCCAGTTCAATGTTATGGTCTTAAAGTCACCAGAAACCTGGGCGCCTGGGTGGCTCAGTTGGTTAAGCGACTGCCTTCAGCTCAGGTCATGATCCCAGAGTCCCGGGATCAAGTCCTGCATTGGGCTCCCTGCTCAGCAAGGAGCCTGCTTCTCCCTCTG